AGGGTGGGTGGGTGAAATTTTGCGACATGTCTGCCCCTCTAGCTTTTTCGACAGATTGTCTATGAAAATCGTTTTCATTAAGTGCTTGATTACATTGCGTAATCTACTTATGTAAAATTCAGTCTCAAGATTGTTTTACCAAGAACGTTCGAGTAATCGCCCTTGCTGGTATCAAAGGCAATTATCACAATATGGTGATAAATGCAAGAAATTAAAACAATGGACATTTTCCGGAGCATTTGAAGTCTATTTTTAAGGAAGTAACAGCAAATATTAAGAGAGTATCAAGGAAGTTTTTCAATAACCTCTTCTGACATGGGGTTTGTTGACAAACTTGGTATAACACAAGATTAACACAGAAGACGCATCCCCAATAAAACAACTACCACGACGCATTCCTTTAGCCAAAATGCCAAAAGCTAAAAATAATATGAAAGATATGTTAAATAAAGGGGTAAATGAAACATCCAGTAGCCCATAGAGCACCCCCATAGTTTTAGTAAAAAAAAAAAAAGATGGGTCGATCAGATTTTGCATTGACTATAGAAAACTGAATGATATCACAATAAAAGACAGTTATCTAGTCCCTAGAATTGATTCTTCACTACATGCACTATCAGGGTCTAGGTGGTTTTCAATGATAGATTTAGAAAGCGGATACTGGCAAGTCGTGATTGCTCCAGCAGACATTCCTATAACAGCTTTTTCGATACCTGGGGTGGGCACTGACAGTTTCATAAAATGTCTTTTGTCTTGTTCAATGCCGGTGCAGCTTTCTAGAGGCTCATGGAAAAAGTTCTATTCAATTTGTTATGATAAATCTGTTTAGTGTACCTTGACGATATAATTGTCCTCTCAAAAAATTGTGTTATGAGAATATCATCTGTAAAACTGTTTCTACCAGATCTGACGGTAAATCTGCTCTGTCACATGATATCCTTACAAATCAAATTGAAAATACAACAAAAAGTGAAACAGTAAAAGTAACAATTATGATATAAGTGGACTGTTTGTCCCCCAAGGTCTCTCAGCCCAGTAGCTAAGTACTTCCGTACTAGCTTGAAAATACGGATAGATATTGAATTGCTGTGGTAAGATTTAGGAATTTATTTCAAAAGTAAGGATTATCTCCCTCATGCATAGCTCTGGTTTGGGATTTCCAACGTTTCGGGCGTGAGCATCTCTGAAGAGACATAATTTGTCGAAATGCTTGTATTTGGTGCATCAAAAATTGGTACCGTATATGATTAACATTATGACCTCGGACGGCATGATTGAGAGGGCAAACCAAACTATTGAAAACATTGTTATCTGTTTTTGTTTCTGTAGATGAATATCAGAAAAATTAGGATGAATTGATACCCATTTTAATGCTTGTCTATTGATCCTCAGTCCACGAATCTACTGGGTCGGGTCCTTGTGAAATGGTGTTTGGTCGCCTCGTAACCTTGCCAATTGATTTAGTATTAGGGAGACCAGAACCTGAAATAAATCAAAACATAACTGAGCTTGCTTGTAATTTGTCAAGAAAGATAGACAAGAGTCACTGACAATTTTGCAAGAAATAAATGAAGTTAACTTACATGAATACAGATACATCGAAACATTTACTAGTATTCTGAAGGAGATCAAGGTTGGATGTTTTACTCTTATTTCAAAAGTAAGGATTATCTCCCTCATAGGCCTATCCAGAAATCAGTTTAAGTACAGGCCTGGCCCATATGAAGTCATTCAAAGAATAAAGGATCTGCAATACAAAGTTAAAAAGTCTTTCAAGCACAAAGGAGACATCTTGCACCACAGTAGACTGAAATTATAAGATGATGAAAATAAACAAATCAGATGCTAAATAATAGGAATATTTGACAATTTTTTTTCACTTGGTATTCTTATTTTTATTTTATTTATTTATTATTTATTTTGATAAATATGCCTAGGGAAATTACGATATTTACATTTTTTATGAACATGATTTGTCGATATGTACTCCATTTTGTGAATTTCATACATTGCAGGTACAAGTGTACTTTGGGCGATGGTCGTGAAGTCACGTGTCAGCTACAGGCAGAGCAACACCTCACTGCAATACATTCGGACTGTGTATTCCAATGTTCAGTGTGCAAATATATGCTCTCCCGTTGGAACCAAAAACATAATAGTGAGGGTATTAAACAGTCAAAAAGGCCGCAATGAGCTTTCATGAAGAGGAAAAGAAAGAATTTGCATCATTTAAAAAAACTGATATAGATATATAAAGCCTTTCATGAAAAAAAACCACACCAAATATGTTTAAAGGATATGGCGAAAAAAAAAAAACAATCAGGGTGAGCCATTCACAGTCCCCTCAAAAGCAAAAAGAACGAAATTCAAGTCAGTAACAGATTGCAAAGTAACAAAATGGAACACGTAAATTTACTTACCTTGTCATTGGTCATTTGCAAAATTTTTTTGACAGCTGCTTTTTCAATAAAAATGGAACTCGTAAATTTACCTCCCTTGTCATTGGTCATTTGCAAAATTATTTTGTTAAAAATCAATCTGATTGTACACACAAGTACTCTGAAGTTGATATTAAAAAGATGCCTGAGTTTCTGATTGACAATATCTATGTGGTTTTTGGAGACCAGGTCCTCCAACAATCTATTAAAATTTCAATGGGTACCAATTGCGCCCAGTTATTAGCAGACTATATGAAGCAGAATTTGTTCAGAATCTTATAAGTGAAAAGAAGAAAACACTTGTTGTGGCCTTCAACTCGACATTTAGATATATCGGCAACGTATTGTCAATTAACAATGGTTATTTCCGTTTTTATGTCGATACGATATATCCCGGTGAGCTTGAAATAAAAGATACCACAGAGTCTGACACATCTGTTTCATATTTGGATATTTTACTAGAAAAAACGTTAATGGTTATCTAACAACAAAGCTTTTTATTATACCTCTACTGATTTTTCACTATAAATGAGTAAATCGATGTATTTTGCCGATTCCCTGAAAATCACCGTAAAAGGACTGATTCCTGCAAAAAGGTGTAACAGTCTGATGAACTGATACACACCTATTCGGAACACTATGCAATTTCTTTGAATCATCTGAAAAATTCCAATGTGTTACAAATTAACTCATAAATATTCATAACACAGCTATGTTAATGCATCATATAAGGAGACGGGGCCTAATTCAAACGGGAAATGTTATGCCACTAAACATGGTAAACTGATGTGCACTGAGAGCTAGACAGATTACGTAACTTTGTAAAATCGGCTAACTGCAATGCTACCTTCAATTTTACAAAGTAGCTGCTGCTCAGACAATGAACTAAATTATTTAATGATAAAATGGAATTTTTTAATGACTGTTATAAATTCTGTTGTTATGATTTTTTATTTATCCCTGTTACAAAATTGGATACTTGAATTAAAATTAAACATTGTTACAGTATTGATTTTAACTTTTTCAAATTTCTTGTTTGTATCGCAAACGCCTCGGGAAAAAGACTTGCTCTTGGGGAACTGGAATCTTGCTGACTCCCTCAATGATATACTTTAACTGTATAATGATAAACGTGATGGCTTTAACTTTTCAAACCGTCAACTTCCCATACTTATGCAGCAATTTACCTTCATCACCTGCACACGGGGTTTATATCTCTCAGTTGATTCGTACGCAAGATCATGCTTTACGTATGAACAATTTCTAAAACGAGGTAAGTTATTGACAAACAAGTTGATGAGACAAGAATAGCAACAGTCTCGTTTAAAGTCATCATTTAGTAAGTTCTATATATAGTCGATACAATGACCTTGTCAGCAAATATAATCTATCATTAAGTCATACGCTGACTGACGTTTTTCATACTATAATTGTTAAGCCATTGTTTACACACTGAATTGTAGACGTTTTTTCCTGTTATTTCCGATCATGACAAGGAGCACACGGCGGATGGGACCGGTTGGCGGGGAATGCTCACTCTTCCATGGCACTTGATCGCACCTCTGATGTTTTTGGAGGTTCGTGTTTGCTCCACTCCCGATTTGTATTGTTTTAATGGACTTAGAGCTTGAATACTGTTCGTTATCTCTATATTTCATACATAAGAAAGTTTCAGTTAATATCAATGTTGCATCAGCTAAATTTTACCCGAATTGCTTATACCAGCAAATCCTCCTTACGTGTTCACACCAGACTTACAGTCATATCTTAAAGTGCATATTGAAATCAATGTTTTCAAACCTATATTTTGTATGAAAGGTTTGCAAACATATAAAATACCGCTGAGCACCTTTTAACTGCAGGAGTTTGTTTTTGTTTCATAGGTTTATGTTTGTGTCTGTATTGTGTAAAGTTTGTGAATATGTGTGTAATCTGATACTCATTACTGAATATACAAATGCTAATGCTTAAATATTGAATAATTTTAATATTATCTATGTTCATATTTCAAACAATTTAATTATATCTTTTTTAAGTAGGATGAGAAAAGATACTGATTTTCATATTTTGCAGGGTCCTTCGGATGACACATTAAAAACCGAGGCCCCGTGTCACGGTAGGCGTTGGCACGATAAAGAACCCTCGTACTGCTCAGTGGCTCTGAGTGCCTAGTACAGCAGTAACATCAATCCAAAAAGCTTGTTACTTATTTCTATCATAATGAAAGAAAGAGAAAAGGTGGTAAGGTTTTCTCTTAAAAAAAGAAACCTACGCCTAAATTAAAGTGTCTGCGAAGTCTTAGTACAAGTTCAATTTAAATTATGCATTTTTATTAATAAAAAAATTATTCGAAAGTTTCACCTTTCTACGTGCCTTAATAAGCGAGTTATCCGCGGTCAAAGTTGCTTATTTTCGCACCTGCCGAAAACCAATCAACGGCACTTCCGCTTTTACTATAAATAGCAATTGGAGCCTGTGACGTCACAACACATCAGTTTCAAAATGGCCAGTGATAATGTAAGCAATAGAAGATCGTCAAGCTCCTCTGATATCGGACTGAATATGTCTTTTGACGTATCCTCTCTTTACGATACCGATGGGGAAGACATACAAGACATCGTTCCTTACCAGTTCGAGCCCAATGCTTCCGAATCGGACGAGCAGAACTCCTCGCTTGGGGGGGGGGGGAGCGATGAGGAACAGCAAAGATTAGGCAACACCGACTGGTATTTATTTTTTTTCATTTATTTATGATAGAATTATTGCACTTGATATTGAAACATTTCTGTGACAAAAAATTTGAAAAAGTACACATCGAAATTCTATCGAAATTCTGTTGTATCCCTATAACTGATAACCATAGACTATCGGCACGATTAGTATGGTAAAAAAGAAATACTGTATCTGACTTCACGAAACTTGGATGTTCTCTCCATATTGGCAGACAAAATTTTTTTTTATAAATTGTCCATGTTTTTTTTTTAAACTAGTGCTTTATGTTTAGAAACAATCGTCCGTTTTCCCTCTTAATCCGAATTTACTCCATTCCTCTGTTCATGTACAAGTCCTGCTAAGATATTTCAGATTGGTCAAATAACTGAAATGTAGGTGCCCTGGAGTTATCCCAGACATAAAAATACATTTTAACTGTGCAATTAAAAGATGAAAAAGATATTAAAATAAAATTTAAAAAAAAATATGTGCCACTTCATGCTGGGGGAGTCTGATGACAAGATAAAAAGGACAATGTATTTTCATACACATTAATAATTTTGTCTCTAGTATTATGTATGTTACCCTGTAAAAAGGTAAAAAGGGCAAGTGAATAAATTAATAATAATAATAATAATAAAACTTTGTTTAAAGAAGGTAACCTGGTTAGTGCATGCACTATTCTTCCCCAGGGCCTTCTATATATCAATTACAAAGATAAACAAGTACACATGTAAATATACAATTCAACATAAAACAGATATAGTCTTAAGGAATTACAATCACAAAATTATGAATAGAGTGTCCATGTCTGATAATATGTACGTACAACTAACAATCACATTAATTGTAGATAGGATATCAAAATCTTACTGTGCTCAAATAATTGTACGACAGCTGATAATGTAATTTTCTACATTACACTTAAATGCTCGTAGAGATTGAGAGAGTCTTATGTGCTGGGGAAGTTTATTCCATAGGTGCACACCTGAGTACTGAAAAGAGGTCTTGAATAAGTTTGTACGGAACTTAGGTAATTTAAGGTCATAATTAGTTTCAGATCGCAGATTATAAGAAGCTGAGTAGTGAAATTCAAATAAATTACAAAGATATTCGGGAGTCATTCCGCTGAAAATTTTGTATAATAATATGTATTTGTATAGATCAACTAGCTCATAAACTGTTAACCATCCAAGTTTCTCAAACAGTGGTTTAGAAGAAGAATCAGGACTTGCGTCAAGAATAATTCTGGCTGCCCTTTTTTGTAATTTAAATAGTCTACCCATGTCCTGCTTGGGGGCATTACCCCAAATAGTCAAACAATAGTTAATAGATGGTAGAATATAAGCATTGTAATATAGTTTTCTGGTATGTAGGGGAAGACATTTTTTTATCTTACGTAGAGTAAATAACTTATAGTTTATGGTTTTACAAACTGAATCAATATGATTTGCATACTGTAACTTATCATCAATATGTACACCAAGAAGTTTCTCAGTTTCAACCATTTCAATTGTTTTGTCTGAGGCATAAAGTTGTAAATTTGGATTATCTAGTTTTGATTTTCTTTGCTGTGTCCCCATTAGCATACATTTTGTTTTGTCTACATTTAATACCATTTGGTTTTGAGCACACCATTTCTCAATCTCGCAGAGATCTGAATTTAGTGTATTTTCTAAACATCTTGCATTATGATTATTAGAATACAGAGTTACATCATCAGCAAACATATCAATATTTGAATTGTTTACATGTAATGGAAGGTCATTTATGTACAATAAAAATAAAAGTGGACCCAAAATTGAGCCCTGTGGTACTCCTGCTGTGACGGGTAGAATATTGGAGACACATGTTCCAAATTTAACACACTGGGTCCTGTCGTAAAGATATGACTTAAACCACTTTATAGCTGTATGGTCAAATTTGTAATGGGTTAATTTCTCTAGAAGAATATTATGATTCACCAAATCAAATGCTTTAATAAAATCTATAAATGTAATACCGATTAGTTCACCACGATCCATTGCATTAAGCCAACTTTCTGTTAGTTTTGTAAGTGAAGTTTGACACGAATGGAGTTCTCTAAACCCCGACTGGGATTGTGTTAGTAGATTAAATTCATTAGTGAAATTTTGTATTAGCTTAGCTACATGTTTTGCTATCAATTTAGATATAGTCGGTAGAATAGAAATTGGACGATAATCATTCGGGTCAGCTTTGTCACCTTTCTTAAAAATAGGTGTTACTTTGGCTTGTTTTAAATTTGTCGGGAAAATACCACTTACTATGCTAGCGTTAATATTAAGATGAGTTATAGGTTTACATGTATATTTAGATGCGACTTTCAAAAGACGCGGTCCAATAAAGTCAACGCCAGCTGATTTATTGATATTAAGAGAATTTAACATGTTAAAAACTTCACTTTCCTCAATTAGATGAATACTAAAAAAGTTTCATCATCAAGCTTAGACCTAACAAAATTACGTAATATATTTGGATATTTGAATTACATGTTAATTGATTAAGATAGTTTCACATTTCTTTGGGATTTGAACTCTGTTCAATCGCTGTTTTATAGTATGAAGATTTTGATTTATCTATAAGAAGACTAACTTTGTTCCGATAAAGTCTATAGTTTTCCATATCTCCTTCTTTGTGGTAAGAGTCACGTAAGTGTCTAGCATCGTTTATTTCTTGTGTCATCCATTTAGGACGGATTTCACTCTTTACTCGTTTGGTTTTAACTCGTGCATGCTGGTCAAGTACGCTATTAAATAATTCGTAGAATTCAGTTAGTATTTCATTAGGGTCATGCATCTGGAGGAAATTGTTAAAGTCTACATCTTTTAAGTCTTGGAGGAATTTATTTTCATCAAACTTTTTGAAATCTCTATACTGAATTTCTATGTGTTTTCCTTTTTGCTGCATGCATTTAGTTTTTCTAGTGGCACATATTGGGTAGTGATCAGAGATGGCTATAAAAGGTACATTCACTTCACACATGTTATCTGGTTTATTGGTGTAAAAGTGATCTATTAGGGTACTTGAGGTATTAGTTACTCTGGTTGGTGCTGTAATTAATTGTGAAAAACCAAACTCGATCTTCTAAAGCATATGTCCAACTTTGTGGGGGTTCTTTGAATAAGTCTATATTAAAATCACCTGTTAAGATAATTTCTGCATCGTCACAGCAGGAGGCACAATTTATTTCTCTAGCCAGATCCTCCGCCCAGCAGAAGGGAGCAGATGGTGGACGATATGCACCCCCCCCCCCCAGTTTATTTTTATTATTAACATGCACAAATTCTTTTCCCACCTAATCGCACATAAATAATATGACTGCCTCCACTGATTTCAGACTAAAAGGGAAAATGAATGATATAGATGCTATTTCTAGACTGAATTGCCATTATTTGTATCAATCAATTTAATTTAACAATTTTAGTCAATAAAAAAAATCTAAAATATCTGATAATTCTTTTAGGTGTACATGTGGTTTCTGTGTCCACATGCCTACACCAAGGGAGAGTGTTTGCTGCTGCGAGATTGACCGTGTCAACAGCAAAAAGGATTCCTTTGACAAGAAGCTCTCCTGCATTACTGAACATCCAGGTTTTTCTTCAGTGTGCCTAGATGTGTATGTGCTTGAGACTGCGTACTACCAGTACCGTGCACAGTATGGAGAGTTACAGACCAGCAGTGAGGAGTAAGATAGTATTTTTATTTTACATTTATTTTTTACTTCAAAGTGATACATGCATAATCCATAATTTGAAATGACATAATAAATTTTCATTTCACACACTCAATGTTACAATGTGAAATTATCTGGTGTTCCTAGTAAAAACAAACATCTCTCTTTACAGAAGGAATAGATATACAGCATATAGACAACTTGTGCGTTGGTGCTGGGGCTGCCTTGGTAGGAATGTTAGAGTTCCCCTACCAGCATGTGCTGTCCAGGAGATAAGATCTTCCTTTCCATCAGAGGGCTACACAGGCTTTCTACACTAACACTGGTACGGTATGTGTAAAAACATATTTATTTTGTGTGTCAGTATATTCAACATAATACAATTCAGAAAAGAATATATGCATTCTTGAAATTCATAAAAAAAATAATTGTTTTAAGAAAAGGACAGGGAAAACATCAGCCATAAAATTCTGATATCCATTTATTAATGGGGTATTGACTCCTTTTGTTCCCTTTGCTTTAATTTGTTTATTATAAATGAACTGCTCAGGAAATCCATATTTTTTAAAAGAAATACTCTTTGTGTGTTACAATATCTAATACAAAAAAATTTACATATTTGATTTAAACTTCTGTAAAAATTTTTATGTTCACTGTAAACTTTTAAAAAAAAGGAAAGCATCAGCTACAAAAATTAATTTGCACCCAGGAACGGGACGTGGACCCTGCTTTCATGTTCCCATTTAAATTAATTTTTACAGGGGGGAGGAGGGGTATATACACTCTCAGTTCTATGGATCTACAAAAATTCAATACAAAATAATACACATACATGTATATGACAGTTTACAATATATAAAAATATATACATATATATATACATGCCATCGTTTAGTCTACTTCTAAGGTATAGTGTTTGATCCAGAATGTCATTTTCTATAATGGCTTTACATCCAGCTCAGTCTTTCAAACAGTAGTTTCCTTCTTCGAAAAACGAGACCTGAAATGACATACTGCCTCTTCTTTCTCAGGGTGCACAAATGCGCTGCAGAGAGGTGGTGGCTTCAGTGATGGCAGACAGATAATGGGCTCCAGTGTTGTCTCAGTTGCTGACTTCAAGGTCTCCTTCATCAGTGTGGATGTATATCCTGGAATTTGAAAGACAAGAGACATTATGTGAAACAGTTCTCCTAATTTTCACTGTAACTTGCATTTTTACAATTTCAGTGTACAGTACAGTTAACTGTTATGTAAAAATAAACAGTGATAAGCTCTGACTTTTTGTAATTGATATTTGAGGTGTCGAGATCAATAGAAGAGTGAATTTGTAATATGTACAATATATAGGCTCCACTGTTAACTTCCGTATACTGTAGTCACCCTGTTTGAATTTTGGGAAGCTGATCTTGTATTGCAGATCACCATCTCTGGTAACGGCATGAGCCCTAGATGAATTTTCATTGTAGTGGATAGCAGCAATCATCAGTCTGTAATGTAATACACATTTTTTATAGTAAATGATTGTACTTCTATGCAATTAGTACATAACTGAAATCTTACAATCAAACATAATAAAGATAAAAGGGGGAACAAGTATGGTAAAAAAATAATGCAGCTTTCTGTGAATGCTTACGTGCAATACATGCCATGGTATGAAAATGAAATCATCTTAGGGGCAAAATGGTTGATGTTGCTGTGAAATGCCTCAATCTGGGAAGTCTGGAAGAGGGGGAAAGCTTTGGGATGTCTTTCTGCATCTGTTTGGAGAGTATCAGATCTGATATTTTCTCACTGGCTTTTGATCCTATTGAATATAAAAAGAAAGTTATTTTTACTACAAAAACTAAGATTTCATTTGAGATTCAGCCAATAAGGCAAAGTAAGCACTACAAAGATCCTTGAAATATTGTGGTATTTATCAATAATCAATAATAAGTTAGCAGAGCAATGCAATTAGTTCATTATTTTAGACATGAAGTTTAAAATAATAATGTAAATAAATATGTGGAATATTTACCTGACTTCAACCACTTTTTCTTCTGCCCATCGGCTTCAAGGTCGCCATGAGCACATGTTGGAAACAGAGCGTTGTGCCCTGTGTGAACATTGTGGATGTGGTTTTCCACTGACTCCCATTTGGCCCACATCACCTCCCCATCACCATCTGGTGTGGAGGCTGCGACCCAGTACAGGTGATTGGTCAGGCTCTTGCATCACTTCACCAGATCTGCACAGTCCTTCAACTTGGATGCAGCAACAATTTTCTTCTTTAAACCTGAAATATTTGTGATAAATAATAAAAGGAAGTCTAGATTTGAATAAAGGAAAATAAAAGCAAAACTAAAGTGAAAGTCTATTACATGCATCCTTTACTTTTTTAAAAGTGTTATAAAAAAATTGAAACAATACTGAAAAAAACATATACTGTGATAAAACAAAATAATCAAACAATGGTAATACACATGTAAATTTATATGTATACAAACCTTTAGCTACATGCCAGACATCATAATAATGTTTTGTGTTTGGTAAGTTTTCTCTGATCCATTTCTGAATTTGTAGATGTCTGTCTGTAACGATGGTTCCCACTTGTAGTTCTTGGTCTTGTAGCCACTGTATAGCCCTTTCCAGTCCTCTTTTCTCCATACCATTACTATTCTTCACTTCGTTGCTCTGTAAATGATAGTGAAATGCTTTATTTTATAAATAACAAATACATCAAGAAGGCCATATTTATATGCATTATAACAAATTACTAAATGTTCAAAAGAAGCCCAATAACTTACACAAAATTCATAAATACAGAGAAACATTGATTATGTAAACTTGATGAATTATTGCACTCTTTTGTACCTGAACTAGCTGTATGTCAATGACGGTGCCAGTGTCCAAGTCCATGGTGCTGTAGGAGCCATACTTGGCAGAATGACCGGGAGAATCAGCCCGACCATCTCCACCAATGACAAGGGGTTGTCCCTTCAGCTGGCATCTCTGAACATACTCTTTCTGTTGATTGTCCCATACACGGGCTATGGACGGAAACAAAATGGAGGATTGGTGGGTGAGGAAGGTTCTAGTAGAAATGATGGCAACCCCCATACACTTCAGGACACGGAGAACCTTAGCTGTCAGGGCCCCAGAGAATAGGATGCTGGCAGACAAGGCGAGGTTCCCAGATGGTATGGTTCCAATGGACAGTTGACTGCACCATTGCCAGGAGTATCCACAAAACATGCACTCAGCAGCAATCCTGACCATGGTCCCAATTACTTGCTGCACATCTGCTTTGGCATAACGATGGTATATCTTGCAGGTGTTGAACAAATCCAGGAGCTGGGACCTGCTCACAATGAACTTCCTCTCCTCTAGGGGATTACTTGATGTTCCACTCCTAAAGATAAAACCAATTTTATAAATCATAAATATGCCATCGAACCAATATTGCACCTTTATTATTATTTTTTTTTTTTTTGGAATATTATAAATCAAATAACCAGTCTTTTGAATAATGACATGAAATAGGTGTTTACCTATTGAGTGTACAGTTATAATCAGAGAAATAATTGAGGCTTTTCATTCACTTTGAACTAATTTAATCCGAACTACGGTATTGAAATTTTGCTATCTAAGTAATGGTAATATCTAATATCCATCAATAAAATAAAAAAATTACTCAATTTCACATCGAGATTCGTCTGAGCTGGATCCACATGGTTCATATATGGAGGCAACCTCACTGTCACTTGGATGTACTCACAGATTAACCACTACTAAAAGAGTCATGGGTCACAGCTGGTTTTCGTACACACTGGGAACTTGGAACATCACCTCTAGTATCAGTGACTTGATTTGCCTTTAGGTATTCCGCTAATACCTACATGTAATATTTAAACAATCAGAAATTTAGGACTACTCATTAATAAAAGGTATTATGAAATTCTAAAACATAAAAAAAATTATGTTCTTATTTAAAGTTATACAAATGTTTTTAAAAAAGTTGAATATTTATTGTAGTCTTCCTTCATATGCAGAAACATATAGTATCACTTGGGGCCTAGGACCCGTACCCTTTTCTCTGCAAGTCTTTTGCTATTTTTAGATGGTATGAAAATTTTATTGACAGACTCAACCATCCAATTTTATTGCAGTGAAGGCAAATTGAAAATAGAAAACTGCATTTCAATTATTTGTTTGGGATTTTCCTTTTCTAAAACATACATTATTCTTTCAGCTTTACCCAAATATATCGGTATATTATAGATCTGTAAGGTGGTGATTTATGCAAAATACACTTGAACCATGCTCACAAAAAACTACCCTCTAAACTTTGTAATATTTTGTCATTTCTAATTTACTCAGCAACCCAGGCTTAGCTTCAAGGTTACAGATTTTCACGAGGAAATTCGAACTAAAATAAAAATAATCATTTGTATTCGATATCGTGTTTTATTCCATATTTTATAATTGCAAATTTGTATTTAATCAGAGACTACTTAATGGACTTACCCTGTTTGCCTCACGCTTTATAGGAACAAGGCGGTCTGAAACACGAGGGGTCTCCAGAAATGCCTCGTTGAGATCGTCCCGTTTTCGCTTCGGGTAGACGGAAGGTATGGATCCTGGACGTAGTCGTTTCTTCGATGAGAATCCAAACTCTTTCATAAAAGAATGCTGTGCTTCATAGCAGTCTTCTTAAGAAATGAATTTAATTTTTGAAGATTCATGAGGACATGAACTACGACGCTTCACGCTTCGCGCGTTAGCGCTTCATGATAAATATGCCGGCGTGAAGCGTTGTAGTTCATGTACCTCATGAATTTTCAAAAATTAAATTCATTTCTTATGTTTATATTATTTTTTTAATGAGTCGCCACAAATAAAGCCATTCAACTGTCATTTTTAAAGCAAAACAGTTTGCACTATAGTTTTGACGTCAAGTACGTTATTATGACGTAACAATGGAGATATTCATGCTCATCCATGGTAGTTCATGAGAAAATGAACAGTATTCGAATTTGCAAAGAATCTTAAGGAAAAATATTCGGAAATGTAAATATATTGAAATGTTCGCTGCATATCACAGTATACTGCGATGGCCCAGTCCAGTCTGCCCTAGTGAGCTTAACAAATCTAGTCCAGGCAGCTCTCAGTCGCTCTTCTTTGGGAAAAATATGCACCGATACACTGTCCGATTGTCTCTTACTACACCCTGCAACTACACACATACGTCCCTTGCTTTTACCACTCATTTGTACGCTAAATAAACACACGATGTACGTTGTAATCCTTCATTCATAAGCGCCAGCTGATGTGTTAAGACGTCACTTCCGTCCGCTCCATCTTAGCCTCGCTTTCGAGATCGTAAAGGCGTGAATTTTCGAAAATCGTACATTTTAGCCTATTTCTTGCTTATAAGGGATCGCATTAAAATGAAACCTTCGACGTATATTTTATTAATAAAAATGCATCATTTAAACTGAACTTGTACTTTGACTTCGCAGACACTTTAAAAACAAAAGTACGAATTCATGTAAACAGGTACGTCAAGTACATGGTTTATCGAAAACAGCCCAAGAAATTAACTATATTAGGGAAAGGATTTAACATTTTGTGCCATTAAAAATAATTATCAAAATATAACCAAAACTAAATAACCGTAATATACAAACCAAGAGAAAATGTTCCCGACGAAGATTTAATTCGTGTCACCTTTCAAAGGTAACCAATGAACTCATTCATTACCGGTCGTGTGAAACTTACCTTGGATTCCTTCGGAAACAAAAAGAGCGACATCTCTTTATAGATAAGATACCAATGTGGCTGCGGAACATCACTCATTATTTCTTCGTCTTAAAAAATGATCCGGCAATTAACACTTAATATCTTTGAATATATAGACATTTTCAAGATAAGCTGCATTTTTTTTTATTTCTAGAGATCTTTTTATAACCTAATATAATTTCGGGTGTTAACATTTTGGATAACTCAAGCCCCTCTGGAGTTTGAGTTCATTTTTAAAGTGTCCTTTCTGATGTTATTAAGTCTTCATACTACTAAAAAGTATACTTTTACTACTACAAATCCCTGTTTACTGTCGTAAATTTACATGTACATACCTTAAAAGCTTGAAACGACAAATTATGAACAGCGTTGACGGCTTCCGTGTTCTTCATAGAGTGAATATTTCATTTTTAATGGCAAAAAATGTATTTAAACCGCAAGACATTGTCTAAATATTTACTATCTGACTGTCACTATATACAATGTTCCTTAAATATACAAAGCAATGTTAATACAGAAATTTTATGAGAAAAATATAATGATATTAAATATTTATACATAATACCCGTTCCATAGAATTTTCATATTTTTGCAGTATTTATTGACGACATTAAAGGAGAGATTGTTGGTCTATTTGGTTTTTTTTAATACATCGAGAACTTTTCACTGTTTTCAAAACTCTTAAATCAAAATAATGCAGAATCAAGAAAAAAGACGTTATAGATAAGATAACTCTCTAAATTATCTATTCTCATTTTGGGTACTTTTCTTTCAAAATCTGATATAGAGCTGTAAATTCTGTCAGGAATAGTGACTGGACAGATACAGATTACTTATATTAGATTGTTTGTAAACCAAAAATACTGTCTTAGATAGATTAAAAGAAACGCAACAGAACATCAAATTCATGCTTTGAAAAGGTAAGAACATACCAGATTCCTTTGAATCAGCACACTGCTCAGAGTTTATGTTTGACTTACAGGCTATGCCACATTTTCCATAGGCATCGCATGATGAATTGTTACAATGATCGCATTTTTTCTCACAATGAGTTCCGTAAAATCCATGATCACAGTAACCACAAACGAGGAGGCTGGTAACTTCTGAACATCCTTTGTTATTTGCGCATTTTTTTCTCCTATTAGTCCAACCCATTATACAAGCATCACAGATAGCATCATTATGACATATCTTACAATTTTCTTGACAACGTTGTTGACAAATCTCACCATAGTAACCATCTTCACATTCCAAGCATTTAGACGCATTGTAGCATAATTTGCAAACTACAGGACAGTTCGGGTCACATTCATTGCCGTATTTACCGTTATTACATCCGTATAAACAGTTTCCATTCATATCACACGTGTTACTTATGCAGGCATTGTCACACTTTTTTTCACATATTGAACCATAGAAAATGTTATTTTTGCATTGTGTGCACACATCTTCTGATACACACGATGAACAGTTTTCGGGACACTTGAAACATTTAGATTCAAAAAGGAACCAAGGATTCTCACATTTAAGGCACTGTATTTTTTGAATTCCATCAATAAAACCGCAGTGTGCACAACTTCCCGTAACAGCACTACAAGCCTGGTCACAATTCTCACCAAACCATCCATCTTTACACCCATGAACACAGGTCTGATTTCTAAAACATGTGGAATTTAAACAGTTAGTACTACATTCTTCTAAACAAAGTTGCCCATATCTCCCTGGAACACATCTTTCACACTGTCCTGTATCTTTATCACATTCTCCCTGTAAGTCACAATATTTACTGCACTTACGATTACAATTGATGCCGTAAAATCCGGTAGAGCATAAATAACAGTTACCTGATCGAACATCACACGATCCATTTCCTCCACATGAATCGGAGCACTTTTGAGCACATATTGAGCCAAAATACCCATCTTCACAAACTTCACAATTGTATCCATCTTGGCTACATTGCCGGCATTTACTTGGGCAAGTTTCATTGCATTTAGATCCACTGTATCCTTTCTTGCATTGCTCGCAGTTACCATTCTTTCTATCACATGAATCACCGTCGCAATTCGGGGAGCATGTGTTATTGCAAAATTTACCATAAAAGTCTTTTAAGCAATTATCACACACTCCACTCACTTTTTCGCAACTTCCATTGCATTTTCCAAGACAGGTATAATTACAGTGACTACCATAATAACCATTACTGCAAGACTGACATTCTTCTGATGTTTGAGTACAGACATTGTCTAAACACGTTGTTGGACAAGGCATAGAACAGTTCTTATTATAAAAACCTGTTTTACAACTACAGTACCCGGATGTCTTATCACAACGTCCATGGCAACCCACTGAGCAATTTAGCTCACATCGATTCCCAAAAAACCCATTTTTGCATTCTAGGCAATCGCCTGTATCCGAATTGCAACCTCTTTCATTACAAAACTTTGAGCATCTCTCTTTACAAAAGTTTCCATAGAAACCCTTCCGACAAACACAATTTCCCGTAATTTTGTCACACTCTTTGTCACAGCCAGGTTGACAGATGCTGCTGCAGTTTTTCCCGTAAGTTCCTCTGGTACATTCTGGTATTGAAATAAAAGTTGAAAACTAAATTATTAATGTTATTAATTACTTGATGTATATAATATAATTGTGGTTTATATCCTGTCTCGTTTGTTTATTCACTGTCTTTCTAAGATGGACAGAAAATACATACGTACAATTCTATTTTCTTATATATATATTATAGTAAAAGTTAATACAGAAGAAGTCTGAAAAATTTAGTTGCTACTTTTTATTTACCAGCATATGAAATAATATAAAAAACTTAATTACATAATTTTGAAATTCATATCAACGCAAAACTAAAATTTATATTTCTCAAAACACATGTCAAAACACATGTTTGGCTATTTGGAGAGAAGTTTAAAATGCAGATAAGGATAATATATTATTGAATTAATTTTATATAGTTTAAATATTAACTGTCAACTCATTATTTAAGGAAATAAGAAAACAAATGTCTGTAACGGCCGAGTGTAAGCTACCAATACTTGTACACCCACACAAAACATATAATTAAATTTTGAATTGTAACTAATAGAGCAGCTCAGCTGCAAATCCATTATATGAAATGGAATATATGCATATAATTAATAGTGTTTGGTAATTAACTTAATTAAAACAAGGATAGGAATTAACGACGACGGACCATATTCATTTCTGCAATATATTTTTTATTCAAATTTTAATATGAGGTAAAGTGACTTTTGGTGCGTTAAAATCAATAAAAAAAATTATATGGTCATCGATGTAGATTTTTAATGGGGAGTGTTTCAAAGTTGTCGATGGAAATCGATAATTACTATAGGAAGTATTGGGAAATTGCCAGTGTAGGGTATAAGAGTAATCATTGAAAAAAAAAATCTGCGATAGAATTTTTATTCATATTAAAGGACAATGTTAACTAGACAATTTACCAGCAAATTATGCCAAAAAATAAATGTGTCATCGTCTTAGATTTTTCAGAGGGGCATGTCAAAAGCAGGTGTAGGGCACATTTAGGGGGGATTTTCAATGAAAATACCGTGGCCAAATAAATCATTTATTTATAAAATTAACAAATGAATATAAATCGAAATATTTACAATATATTTAAATTGAGAGGAAATGTTTGAATAATTATCTTTTAAAGAATTAAAAATTAATATTTTTTTTCTCTTTTGCAATACATAATTAAGTCAATTTGATTCAAGGCATATGCGCGGTTTTCTGCGCAGTGGCTCGAAATTTCGAACTAGGTCCGTCGTCCTTAATGTACCAAAATGCTTCAACGCCTTGATAAATGTATTATTTGATATACACAAAACTGTACATTACATATAAACATACCAAAATGTTGAAATTCAAACACTTGAAGGGTTGTATTTCTTGTAGATACAATTTCAAGATATGTTCCTTTCAGAGGATTCCTGCACGTCATTGGTACAGTTTTCTTAGTATCCATGTCGTTATGCAATAATGCGTCACAAATCACATCAGGATTACGGGAAAAAAAAAATTTCTTTAACATAAAATATATAGGTCGTATTTTGCCCTACAATGAAAACATAATCATCATATATAACCCAGCCATACATATCATAAAGATTGTTAGGGGCCCATTAAATTACTTAGCATAGTTTAAATATTGTTATAAATTAGGATTTGCGAAATAAATCTGTATTTAAAAAGTACTTACGAAGTCGCAGAGTAATATATATTCTATCAATTTCTGTAGACCTTTTTAATTGGACTCTTACAAATGGATTGACGTAAGAAACCTCTACAGAAGTATTAACATCACCATCAAGTATTTGATAATTCATTTCATTTTCGACATGACCTTGATATAAAGTGTTAGCTGAAAAAACCCGAGTTTTATTCAATAATGTAGACAAAGAAAAAATATAAATATGCATTATTAAGGTGGTTAATTTTTAAAAGCATATTTTTACTGCTTGTAAACTTTGATTATTTAAAGTACACTTCACCTCTTTGACATTTGTTTTTAGTAGAACCACTCCATCCAGGCAAACATTCTGTACAAGTTTTGTTACAGACTACACAGTGACAGACACAGGTACCATTACTCCAACACTGTCCTTAATAATGAAACGTGAGAATTTAGATGAATGAAATATGAAAATAACGAACAGTATTCAATCTCCAAAGTCCAATGAAACGATACAAATTTGGAGCAGAGCAAACAGGGACCTCAAAATTTAGAGGTGGGATCAGGTGTCATGGAGGAGTGACAATCCCCTGCCGTCCAGCCACACCCACCGTGTGCTTCTTGTCATGATCGGAGAAAAAAAAACAGAAAAATTCGTAGACAGTTCAGTGTATAAATAATGGCCTAACAATTAGTGTGAAAAACGTCAGTCAGTATTTGACTCAATGATAGGTTGTATGTGCTGACAAGGTTATTGTATCGACCGTAAAACTTGCGAAAAAATGACTTCAGACGAGACTGTTGATATCCTTGTTTCATCAACTTGTTTGTCAATAGCTTGCCTCGTTTTAGAAATTGTTCATACGCAGAGCATGCTCTTTCGTATCGAATCAACTGAGAAACATAAACTCCATATGCAGGTGTTAAGGGTACATTAATTGCTACATAAGTAAGGAAAGTTGACGATTGAAAAGTTGAAGTCATCACGTTTATCATAAAGCTTTATTGTTAGGTTACCGTTAACGTCTTTTTCTAGTAAAATATCTAAATAAGAAACTGATGTGTCAGAATCTGTGGTATCTTATATTTCAAGCTCACTGGGATATGTCAAGTCGACATATGAATGAAAGTAACTATTGTTAATTGATAATACGTCGTCGATATATCAAACTGTCGAGTTGAAGGCCACGGCAAGTGTTTTGTTCTTCTCATGTAGAAGTTTTTGAATAAATTCTGCTGCATATGAATACAAAAATAGGTCTGCTAATAATGAATCTAAATGGTTTAACTCGGTCATACGAATATTCATTGTACAGAGCTAAAGTTAAATCCTTTGAAAACCCACACATGGCTAATTAAGCGAGTGCTTTTTCACGGTTTCTGTAGTGCTTATAGCGGATAAGAGTCTTTCATACATTTTTTCGAAAGCCAGTATCAAATTTCAGCTGAGTGGACTGAAACGATGCAGATAATGTGCCGTATACAGGGACACACCACATAACATCGAGTGCGCATGATGGATCCAGCGACCTTTCGGTTACTGGCAAAACAACTGTGACCACTGGGCTATCTGATCCATCGTACAAATGACAAGATATCAACATAAACTTATGGAATTCTTCATAATTAACAAACGTTTTTGAACATTTTGTTCACAGTTCATTTACAACGTTAATAGTTGAGGAACTACATATATTTAATTAACCCTTCAAATAATAAAAAAACAACAACAACATTTTTTCGCCGTTATAATATTTTTTTGTCAAAAGAAAACAAATAAGACACTGCGTCTTAATTCTACATGTAACGATAAAATTTTCAAAGATTGATCGGTCTAAAATTCTGCAAATAAATTAAAAATATATATCTGAGAGTGAGAACTATACACTGTATGTGAAATAAAAGTTATATATATATACGCACACATACACACACCCTCACACACACACACCCTCTCACACACACACACACACACACACACCCTTGTTTGTAAATCCAGCCAACTGACTACATTTGAAATTTTACCTTCATCTCGCTTCACTGATTTAGAGGCTTGAAAAAGAGAAAGTAAGACTAGAATCTACCGAGGTTAACCTTGGGATTCCACTGTATCTACAGGAATTTTTGATATCTTTTACTTTAATTTTATTGAAATTCGACATGAATCTCACTACATTTTTACACTTATTGAACACACACGTGCAAATCAGTACAGCCAATTCAACCGTCAATTCACTACAAGGTTATAAACACACAGGAAAATCGCTACAGCTAGTGATCATGTTTAATTATAAAATAACACCGTTTATTTTATGTTATTTACTGGTATAAATGGTGAATGTATGTACAAGACAGTACACAAGATCAAAGGAAAAGATTGGATATACGGCAAAAATGTATGCTATCAGAGCTGTTCCCATGTTGACTTATACATGTATACAGCGCCGGTCTAACATAAACTATAATTAACATTAATCTCAGAGTCGATAATTGAAGATATCTTTTAATAATCAAGGACATCATCAATTCATTTTTTATTATTAATAATGGAATGAACGATACTTTCGTTTAATGAAAGAATTGAATAAATCTTTTTTAAGACAATCTCTAATTTGATTCTTGCGAGTAAATTAATTTTCCGCTACTGTATTGATAGACCTATCTTCGATTCAATTGATAAGCTTTGAAGGAATTACGGGCATTTCAATTTTTTAGGAGAACCAGATAACATTTGCCGGTAGGGTGCTAGCATTGCATATGCAATACTCTCAAAATGCTTGTTGAAGTTACGAAAAAAGCTACTCCCTAAGCACCTAAATGGTCACTTTTGCTGATAATGAAGGAAAAAGCAACATCCGAAGCAAGACTGCTATTATCAGCAGTCAATATTAATTGCTCGGCATTAAAGCTAAATAACTTGCGATTTATAAGTTTTTTCAAAATTTAGAGTAGTTGCATGTTTGAAATAAATTTAATTTATTATTCTTTCAGCATCGAATGTTCTTTAAATCTTTCCCAAAAAATCTCTGTGTCAAGAACCATGTGGTTAGTTAGTAAAAAAACAAACTCGAACTTCAATTCATCATAGTTTCAAAACAGTAAATATTCCGTGATCTGGGTAACCAAAAAGTTAGTAGAATTAATTGTATTAATGATAATTCATTATCATTAAAACCCAATAATAATCGCCCAAGTTCAAGTGCAAGTTCAGTTTATTCATTCACCAACCCAAAATAACAGTACATGGGATACATTTATAACATATATATACATTTCATATAAACTGTTCAGAGGTACAATATCTATATATACAATGCAAAAACATGATATAAAATGAATAATGATAATGATAAAAATACTTAGCCGTTCCATTTTTAACCATTTTCAAGAGAAAAGTCTTAAAAGATTAAATAAAGTTATATACCCTAATGGATAGTTAAGAAGATGCAGTCGCCCGCGTGGCGCAGTGGTTAGAGCGTCTGCTCTAGAGTCGCGAAGTAAGGAGTTGATCCTTACGTCGCGGGTTCGAATCCCACTGTGGAACGTGGAGAACGGTCCTTCGGATGAGACCGTATAAATCGAGGTCCCGTGTCGCAGTAGGTGCTGGCACAAAGAATACCCTCACTGCTCAATGGCCGTAAGTGCCGAGTATAGGACAAAATTTGCAGCTCTCCACCGGCAAGTGGTGGCGTCTCCATATGAGTGAAAAATTCTCGAGAGGGACGTAAAACAACATACAAACAAAAGAAGATGCGAAGACCTCCTGACCGCTTGGTGAAATTGTGTTTTAACGCCTTACAAAATGACAGCCCTACTGCTCAGATTGACCGGTGGGGCAGACTTTTAAGAAATTAAAAATACGCTAACAAGAAGCGCTATCTGTGGTTTAGGTAGAAAATGCTAAAATGCATGTCTAAACGGACAAGTTGTCTCAAGCCGCCTCAGTACCCTTAATAGATTCAGGGCAAAGCCCAGATGATGGCGCAGAGGAGTAAAGACCGTGAAAGCTCCGGAATTTTGACGATGCAAAGCCAGTTTATTCATTATAATAGAAGAAATTGGAGAATAGATATATTTTTGTTCTTATTCTAGTGAGGCATACAGGGCGACTCAAATCTCTCGGTACTACATTAATAGTAAGAGTATTTGATTTTTTTTTAAAAGAAGATAAATCAATCATAAGTTCATGAAATAGATTATAACGTGTACATAAACAGAAAATTTAAAAGGGCGTTTTGGGGATAACATTTATGTATCATGTTTCTACAATGAATTTCAGTATAAATATGAAAGTAAAAATTATGAGAAAAATCCATATACAAAGATGGTTTTCTATGCAAACTTCGTGATAATTATAGTTTTGTCAATGATAAAATATGTACAACCTTTGATTTTGAGTATTCTATGCCCTGAAGGAGTATTAATTTTTTTTTATCGATTTATTTTGGGGGAGATTAAATTATGTGCATGCTTGAGCATATAAGGAAATATGGAGTCTCTGCCATACCAGCCAAATTAACATCATTTTTATGTTACTTGTGTTAAAGATGTATTCAAATAAAGCATGTAAATTGAAAGGATAAAAAAAACCATGTGATAACTGGTTAGAAATTTTAAATATTTCAGCAATATTAATAATGCCATCACATTGTTGGGGCTAGAGTTAAATTCCACTGATGAGAAGAATGACTGAATTTAATTGCTGCTAACATCAAATCAATTACTGATCTCATCAATTCAAATGATGCGCGCCTTCATTTTTCTAATGTTTGCCAGCATCAATAATTCGCATTAATTCAATTGATGAGAGCAATAATTGATTGGCATTTCAGTTCATATGAGAGCAATGATTGATTTCATGATATATTTCAAGTAATTTAAGATGACTTCACTATTTCGTGTTTAAGAAATACAAGAATACAAGAAAACAATGGATAAATGTATTAAAGAACATTCTTTATCTATAACGTCAAAATTAGAAAATCTACAGAAAAGTGATATTAAGGAATATTGGAGAATTTTAAATAGTTCGAAGGCTAGATGTAAAACTGAAGTTGATATCAAAGCAATGTACGATTTTTTGAAAAAAAAAAAATAATGAATATAAAGGTGATGTAGATGATAATGATGTCAATTTCGATAAAAACTCCCCTTTAAATTGTCAAATCTCTGCAGAAGAAATCTTGCAAGCAGTTAACAAACTGAAAAATAATAAAGCTCCAGGGTATGATCAAATCTGTAACGAATATATAAGTACAACAATATCATGTTTTGCCACTATATGTTGACCTTTTCAATTTCATTTTTGATACTGGTTTTGTACTTGAGGAATGGCTTATTGGTAACGTTAAGCCAATGTATAAAAACAAGGGAGACCCAACTCTTCCTGAAAACTATAGACCAATAACACTATTAAGCTGTTTAGAAAAAGTATTTACCAGTATTTTATGCGAACGTTTGAATATTTTTGCTGATGAGTTAGAATTGATTACTGAAGCCTAAGCTGGCTTTAGAAAAGGATATGGTACAAAAGATAACATACTGATATTAGATTTTTTGTGTAAATTTGTTTCTTTTAGTAAAAAAAAAACTTTCTTGTGCATTTATTGACTTTAAACAAGCCTTTGATACTGTTTGGCGATCTGGTTTGTGGTCCAAATTGTTTAAAAGTGGTATAGATGGTAAATGTCTAAGATTTATCAAAAATATGTACAGTGGTATCAAATCGAAGATATATATTGATCAAAATATCTCTGAATTTTTCATGTGTAACCTTGGGGTAAGACAAGGGGAAAATTTATTCCAATTTCTTTTTATTTTATATATTAACAATTTAGAAAACTATTTATTGCAGAATAATATTGAAGGGGTTACGAGCTTTAGTGAAAAATTAGAAATTGAAATGCAGATTATGTTTAAACTTTTTATACTTTTTTATGCTGATGACACAGTTTTATTATCTGATAATCCAGAGGATTTACAAAGATCTTTGAATATTTTCTCTGATTATTTTGACCATTGGAAGCTTCAAGTAAATACAGACAAGACTAAAATAGTAATTTTTCTAGAGGAAGAATACCAAAGAAAATATTTTTGTATAGAGGTGCACCAATTGAAATTGTGAACGAATTTAAATATTTAGGTGTTATCATGTCTCGTAGTGGTTTCTTCAGAAGTGCCAAAACACATTTAACTAAGCAAGGATCAAAAGCCATGTATGGAGTACTTAGAAAAATAAGGTATTTTAATTTGCCAGTAGATTGTCAAATAGATCTCTTTGACAGAGTTAAAAGCCCAATTTGATGTACGGGTGTGAAGTATGGGGCTACGAAAATATAGATATTTTGGAAAAGGTACACTTAAAATTTCTGAAATTTGTTTTACATGTTAAATCCAGCACTCCAAATTGTATGGTATATGGGGAAACTGGGCGATACCCTTTAATAATACGTATAAAGGTACGAATGATTACTTATTGGGCTAAACTTTTGATGTCACATGAACGTAAGTTTACATATATGATGTATTGCTTTCTCCATAAATGCTTTTCTGAAGGTTTATTTATGCATCCATGGTTGAAATGTATAAAAGATATTTTGAATTCATGTGATCTGTCTTATGTGTGGATGAATCCAATTTTTTTTTAGTATTTCTTGGTTAAAATCTATTGTGAAAGAGACATTGTTAAATCAATTTTTACAAGACTGGCATATTCATGAGCATAGAAAATTCATCTAAATGTTTAAATTACAGGATTTCTAAAAACAATTTTGGACGAGAAATGTACCTAAGTAAACTCCCAAAAGATTTAAGAATTATATTGACAAAATTTAGAATTTGTAACCACAAACTTCCAATCGAAGCTGGTAGATGGACTAATACTGACAGATCTTTAAGAATATGTAATTTATGTAATAAGAATACTTTAGTTGATGAATTCCATTATGTAATGGAGTGTCCATACTTTTCCTCATTACGTATGAAACTTATTGATAAGAAGTATTGTTTTCATGTAAATACTTATAAGCTTATGTCCACCACAAATGTTGACTCACTGATAAAGCTGTCTTTGTTTGTTAAAAAGATATTGGCCTGTTTTCAGTAATACTCTTTCATTTGATACTACTCTTCCTCACTTGACTTTGTATTTTGTATATATGTAAATATGTTCATGTACCTCATATATCATTGTATGGTCTGAGAGAAATAAATAAACAACAGAAACTAAGGGATAAGCCGAGCCATTTTTACACTTGCAAAAATTTGGTACATAGACCCACTCTATATAAAAAAAAAATAGATTTGAGGGTGTTGCAGTTCTTTTGTTATTTTCCCTAAAGTTGTAGCAGTTTAAAAGAAAACAAAATTAGTAACAGAAAAGTTCATTTGTTTCTGATACAGCGGTATATACTATACAACA